TCAAAAGTTTGCCGAAGAACTTTGAAGAACGGTAGGCACTTATTTGTTGCGCGAGAAATGAAACGGTTAAGGGCTGCAACTCGGCCAGTGAGTCTTTGGACCTCCTTGACCGTCCTGGGAGACTGCATCTCAATCAAGGCCTTAATCTTTTCAGGGTTAGCTTCAATGCCCCGCTGACTGACCATAAAACCCAGGAACTTCCCAGATCCTACGCCGAAGGCGCATTTCTCTGGGTTGAGCTTCATTTGGTACTTGCGTAGCGTGGCGAAGGTCTCCCGCAGGTCGGTCAGGTGATCAGTGGAGAGTTTGCTCTTAACTAGCATGTCGTCGACGTATACTTCCATATTCTGACCTATTTGGTGATAGAAGACGGCGTTGACCAGCTGTTGGTAGGTGGCCCCAGCGTTCTTCAATCCGAATGGCATTACTTGGTAATGGTAGGTACCTCGGTTGGTGATGAACGATGTATGTTCCCGATCGGATGGGTGCATGAGAATTTGGTTGTAGCCAGAGAAAGCATCCATGAAGCTGAGCATTTGATGACCGGCCGTGGCATCGACTAGCAGATCTATGCGGGGCAGAGGATAGCTGTCTTTGGGGCAAGCTCGGTTCAGGTCAGAGTAATCGACACAAAGTCGCCATTTGCCGTTGTTCTTGCGGACGAGGACCACGTTTGACAGCCATTTAGGGTAGTCGACATTTTTGATGAATTGGGCCTCAAGGAGTTTGTCTACCTCTGCGGCTATAAGAGTATTGCGCTCCAGATGAAAGATGCGTTGCTTTTGGCGGTACGGTCGGAAATGAGGCTCAACGCTGAGGCGATGAGTTATAAAAGAAGGGTCGATGCTTGGCATATCTGAATGAGTCCAGGCGAATACATCATTGTGCTCGGTCAGAAGTGTAGTAAGGTCGGCCTTGGCTTGGGGGGATAGCTGGCTGCCGATCTTAGCAGTTTTCATTGGGTTGGTGGGATCGATGGGAATCTCAACAAGCTCCTCCACCGGTTCGCCTCTGACCAGTTCATCCTCATCTCGGGCGTCAAGTCCTTCAATGATCATGGCCTCCTTCAACTTGATTTCCTTGAGTGAGGCGACATAACATTCCCTGGCGATGGTTTGCTCTCCCCGTATTGTCCCGAACCCCTGGTCAGTGGGAAACTTTATAGCGAGGTGATAGGTTGAAGTGATAGCTTGGAAAGCGTTGAGGGCGGTGCGACCGAGGATGATGTTGTAGGCAGAGGGACAGTCGACCACAAGGAAGGTGAGTAACTTGGTAGTCTGCCGTGGGTATTCGCCAATAGTGATGGGGAGGTCAATGGAGCCGATGGAGGTCGCCCGGTCGCCAGTGAAACCAACCAAGGGGGTTTTGAGAGGGGACAGGTTTTCCTCCCTAATTTTGAGCTAGCGGAAGCAACTGAGGAATATGATGTCAGACGAACTACCGTTGTCGATGAGAACCCGCCTGACCTTATAGTTGGAGAGAAGGGCGGAAATGACGAGGGGGTCATCATGAGGATAACAGATGCCTGTACAATCGGCATCCGTGAAGGTGATGGGCTCTGTCCACTTCTTGGGCTGCTTGGAAGGTCGGTCTACCATGACCACTGCTTTGTTCGAACCTTGCCTTATTTTCCTGAGCTCTGCTTTCTGAACGGAGCGGGACGGTCCGCCGCAAGCAAGGCCACCAGAAATGACTCAGATTTCACCAACTGGCGGAGGGGGGTTACCTGGGGGCCGAGGCTGTTGTGGGAGGCGGTCATGGCCTTGGGCAGGTTGGGCTGGCTGCCGAGGTGGGGTACGTCGGCGGTTGTTCCTGAGGGGCTCGGTTCTTTGCCTCTGTTGTGGGTGGGTGTCCGTGAATCGGCTGAGACGCCCTTGACGAATGAGGTCTCGACCTGACTCTTGAGGTTGATGCAATCATCAGTGTTGTGGCCGTGGCCTAGTAGAAGCGACAATATTTGGACTGGTTTTTCCGGTTGGAAGGGTCCGTGAAAGCAGGGGCCATTTGATAGTTGGTAATCCCGTTGGATTTCGTGTGAGAAACTGTTCCTAGGAGAATTGAGGGGTGTGTACCGCTCAAACCGACCGGGGGGTCGTGCTGGTGCCGACCGGTCAGTGCGAGGAGGTCGGTCGGGATATTGGGGCGTTTGGCTGTTATACTGGGTGTTTCTTGGTTCCGAGTCTTTTCTCTTTTCTCTAGGGGGCGGGTTTTTGGATATTGGATCTTGGCGAGCGGCCAGTGAATCTTCGGCATTCATATATTTCTGAGCTTTGGATAATAGGGCTGCCATAGAGGTCGGGGGGTTTTTGGAGAGGGAGAAAAGGAAATCGGACGATCGCAGCCCGGCCATGAAAGCCGTAAGGATGACCTTATCGTCATTCTCCGCTACTTGTAAGGCTTCTGTGTTGAAGCGGGTAACAAAGCTACGTAGTGACTCCCCCTCGGTCTGACGGATGTTGAGGAGTTGGGCTGCAGGACGGCGTTGGCGTTGGGCTCCAATGAAATGGCTGAGGAAGGAATCGCTGAGATACTGGAAAATGGAGACAGAGTCCGCTGGTAACTGACTGAACCACAATCAGGCTGACCCCTTCAGTGTCACGGGGAAAGCTCGACACATGTTCTCATCGGGGAAGGCATGAAGGATCATGAGTGTACGATAGGTCTCCAGATGGTCGACTGGATCTGTCGTACCATCAAAGGAGTCAATGGTGGGCATCTTGAATTTGGCGGGCAAAGGTTTGTCCCGAATGGAGGCAACAAATGGTGAATTTGCCGTGGTAGAGGGTTTATGCTGAATGTTCTGGATGACTCCTTGGAGTTGGAGCTTCATTGCTCGGAGCTCGGCGTCCCAGAGTGGAACGTGGTCCCCCTGGTCAGTCAGTAGAGGTTGGACGCTGCTGGCCTCCCCTTCAGGGGCTGGTGCTACGACCGACGGGTGTGGGGGTGGTGGTGGCGGATTTATGTGTGGGTGGGGACGTTGCAAACCTTCCAGGTTGGGTGGATAGAGTTGGGGGGCAGTATGGCTCGGGGTTCTTTCTTGGTTGGGGGGAATATCTGGAGGTGGTGGAGGAGGAATCGGAAGGTTCCTTTGGAGTAAGGTATTTATCAAGGCCTGGTTTTGTTCGACCATGCGGTTGATGCTGTTGGTAAGCTCAACAAAGTACTGTGGTGGGTTGTTTGGATTGGGGGGGTCGTCTTGATGGTCGGTAACATTATTGTGAGAAGCCACGGATCTAGTCGTGACCATGCACTTTGACGGATAGGAGAGAGAGGTTGTTGGAACGGGGCCTCCGGCGACAGTGATCACAACTGGCGCGCGGAGCAAAGCGTTCCCACAGACAGCGCCAACTGTTAATGTTGTTCGTCCCAGTGGATGGATCAGACAGGTCCAAGCTCCTCCAGCCCGTGTCCAAATAAACAAACCCACCAGATAACCTGCAAGCAAGTTCAACGGGGAACGGAGTAATCCCCCAGCGAACTCTCCGACGAGCAAGTTAGGAAGAGAAGCAGAGTGTATGGGAGAGGATTAGAGATAGAGAACTTAACCTTTTTCTTGTCTACAACATTTTCTTATATCCTTTTGCCATCATTTCGTTGTCCCTTCCGACCTGCTCTCCTTGCCGAAAGCCTATGTTGTAGCTTACCTTGCTCAGGGTAAGGGGGTCCTGTTCCGACGGAGAGGTGTTGTCGTAATAAATGCTGTGATGGACTGCATTAATGGTGATGTGTAGTGACAATAACTTTGCAGATCTTTGTCTGCTGATGTGGCTCGTCCTCTACCCGCCGCGTGTCTGAATGCTGTTGGTTCTTGGTGCCATATTGGATTCCAGCTGTTCCGGACTCCATTGGCAAGGTTATGCATTGGGCCTCGAATGATGGGCTCGGATTATTTATAGTGGTTTATGGCCTTTGTGGGCCTGTCCATGTCATCCCCCAATATTTCACTCAATCACAAACTACTTAATGTAACGTTTTAAAACAATTGAATAGTCATTTTAATGAAATCAATCAAAACCATATCAGTCTTTTTTCTCTTTTAATCAAATTAAATTGCTGAAAATAATTATATATCATTTTAATCAAATCAAACAAACCAAATCAAATTGTTTAAATTCAATAGTGAAGTACTTCTCTAGTGGATCGCTCTAGTTTGTGACTACATGCAGCAATGAAATTCTTACGGAAGATTGTGCTCATCAATGTCTCACTCATCAATTTTGTTATAGCATTACTTAGGTGCTACTTGGTTCTGTTTATTTGAGTTGTTTATATTTTTATATTTTTTATTTTGCAAAAATTTATGTCAAACTGTTTGATTATTTGAAAATATGAAGAAAAAAAAGAGACATTTCGGTTAGTACCGAATCAACATGTAGAGTCGTCTTAGAAGGCATATGATAAGTTTAGTAATATTTTCTGTTGAATCTGACTCAACCATGGCTATCAAGATGCTAGAGAGTGGGTCTCCACCTCAATCTTCATACAAAAGCTTGATGGACTTGAGACACCTGCTGCTATGCTATAACTGCAAGCTACATGTCTTGCGCCAAAGAAACCAATGTGCTGACGGGCTTGCTAAATTAGGGCTGATCAAACTGAGAAATTGGTGGTGACTCTTAATCCACCAGAGGAAATCCATAGCTTGGTTAGGACAGACGCGATGGGTGTTGAATACCCCAGAGTGTAGTTGTTTGTTGCTTTTTTGTTTTATTTTCTGATGTATCCAAAAAAAAAAAAAAATTGTTGGTGTGGTAAGCTCAATTGGTGGAATTATTCAATCACCACAAATTAAAATTTTGTGGATGGAAAAAGTATGAAAAGTTGATCTAATTTACCACACAAACATATATATCATCATCACAGGCCCCAATAACTGAGTTCTGGTGGTGGTCGCATGTTTGCCAGCAGCACGCAAATACCAGAGAGAGACCAACAGGAAAAGCCTAGCCAGTTTAGAACAGCAGCAAACCCACACAGACAAGACTTTTGACTACAGCTGATATTATCAAAAAGATTAATTAACATGCAAAAGTCTTATTTGAACAACCAAATTCAAAGTATTCTACAAAACAGTGAGTCATCTCCACAAAAACATTACTGTAGGCAATTCAATAAAATCATATGATATAAATTTATCAAGTTAATATACCCGCCATAACATCACTCTTCCCTCGTGCAAAGATTGTGTAAACTAGACGGATCGCATCAAGCCATCCATCCAAGGATTCCCAAGAATCAGCAATCTGTGAAGTATAAATCAGCAAAATTTCCCAATTAAATAAATTTCATAAGGAAATAAGAAATATAAATATATATATATATATATTATCTTCCTGGTCCTGTCATCTTTTCCAACAAAGGGAGTTATTTTTTATGTGTTTTACATAAAAATGGCAAGCATATTTTCAACATGTCACTGGCACATCTACACAATAAAAGGTCGTGCTCAAAAGCCCCTTTTGTGGTGAGCAAGGGCAAAAGTTCAACAACTAAAACAATGTTTGTAGAGGGGCAAAAGAAAACAGCATGGAAAGGGGAAGATGACACTTACCAAGAAAACTGGTCCATGAATTGTATCAATGCAGAGTCCTGCACCTCGTGGTAAGGTCAGATCGGCACATGCTGAAACAGAGACTATGTCTGGGACATCAACTTTAATAACTAATCTATTGGAACTCATGGTATCTCCTGAGTTGCCAGAAAGGCTTTGTGACATCTGCTTCTGCTCAGCTTTGTTAAGCTGCATTAGAAGTTTGAGCGTTTTAGCAGAGAAAGTGAAGTTCAGTCATAGAGATTTGTTTTTTGGGGCATGTATAGTTCAGTGATAGACAATTGTTTACTATACAAATAAGGGTTATATTCTTCCAGAAAATTGTGACAAGTGTGTTTAAGAACTAAAGGATATAGCATGCACATGTCTGGAACATTTATACAAAAACTCATCTTAAAAACACTTTTTACAAAGAGAATGTACTTCATGCTAACTGTAGATAAAAGTTTAAGAAAAAAATTGAATCATCACGCTCTCGATGAAATAAACAAAAACAGAAAAACAAAAGATGAAAAAGATGCTATCAAATATATTTGTTGTGATATCTTAGGTCACTAAATGCATATCATGGCATAAAAATGATATTCAAAGGTTGCACTCATCCTATTTTGAGCTCCTTACACTTTCATGGGAAAATTTCAGAGATATCAATGGGAAATACAAAATTGCGCTAGAAGTATCACCACAACTCAAACCAGAATATCAGGCTTACTGCTGCGTCCTTTGATTAAGACCTTGGGGAGGCCATGTCATCAGAGTTATAGAGGAAGGTATGATATCTTCGAAGGTGTATCATGGCATGCAGTAGGCAAGAGTGTTAGGTCAAAATCCCCTCTCTCTAAGACCGGTCAAGGATTCCTTGGGGAGACAGCTAGGCAACCTTGATAAACCCATGATCCTAGCCTCTAATCCACAATCCTCCAATGATCCCAAGCAGCAAATGCCTAGGCCCTGCTCCCAGCTTAGGCTGCCAAGTGATTGCTATGATAGTAAAAACCATGAGTGATCCCAACTAAGGCAGTGAGTGTGAGTGCATAGGGGAGACATAGGCAAGCCAAGGGCTGGGCTATACTACTGCTGAGCGGGAGAGACCTAGTGGAGGTGTGCCCAGGGTTGAGCGGTGCTCCAGGTTGTTCCTGGGCATACCTTATGGGAATGAATGAGGTATGAGCCTGGGGGACCACGGTGAGGTAAGGCTCATCCAGGCAAGCCGTGGTGCTGCCAAGTATATTGAGAGCCGTGGATCAGCCTCCTCATACTTTGACTAATTAACTTTGGTGCTTTGGCCTGCTAGAGCGGCAGTCGCATTAGTAAGCTTAGCAGCCATACTTGTGTATATGCCCCCTACTTAGGCTAGGCATATGAACCCCATTGTGGTGCCACATGGGTCTGCCATGTAGAGATGATGGTGATGATGACATGGCACCCGTAGAACTCGCCATGTATCAGGAGCAATGTAGATACCCAAAGGAATAAAACAAAACAGAAACATATTTGAATGTAGCCTTTTGATTAGTATTCATACTAGAAGATATGAACTTCTTCTACCTGTTGGAGACCTTCATGATTCAGAATAAACTGTGTTCGTTTCCAATCACTGTGGGGCGCAACTGGATTTCCCACAGGTGGTGCAGTCAGATATCCAACCTTTAGATAGGGTAAAGGTAGCTGTCAATGAATAAATCTCGTTAGAACTTCGATATGAAGAATGATTTCCCAGCTAGCCACATGAAATGAACACTTGCAGTGAGGCATGACCGACTAGAAATACTTAACATGAAGTCAAGGGTACGAGGTCCAATAATTACATTAAGAACTATTGTGGGGTAAGGATTTCAGCAATGACACTCTTATTTCTTTTTCCGATAAGAAAAAAAATTCTAGAAAATAAGCCCAAACCTTGTACCCTTGACGCATAATTCTGGTAAGTAGTATATGAATGGTCTTTAAAAAATATTAATAAAAAATTGTTGAGCTCAATAATACTAACCATGGAGCGCACAAGCTTCAAGGCACTAGCATAAACCTGTATAAAACAAACATCGCAAGAGAAAAGCTTTTAGCTCAGCATAAATTAAATATATATATATATAAAATCATCCGCTTTTAAGTGCAAAGGGAGTTAAAAGGGGTAACAAATACTATGGCTGGACTCAACTACGTATATCCAGATGAGGACAAATTATATAATACCTCGAACTTGCAAAAAAAAAATAAATCAACTTAAAAAGTTCTATATTGAAACAATGCGAGGCACTTACCAAGTAAGCTAAAATACTACCAAAGTTCTATGAGGAATTGATTGAAACAATGTGAGGCACTTACCGAGCAAGCTAATATACTACCAACTTGCAGAGAAAAATTAAATGTTCTTAATCTAGCATCAAAGAGATGCTTGTGATCTAGACCAAAAATTCAATCTAGGTCCATAAGAAGTTCTATAAGGAACTGTTTGAAACAAGACGAGGCACTTACTGAGTAAGTCGGTTTCAATGCATGAGCAGCAGCAATGTAAATTGCAGATTGGTTGAATAATTCATTAGATGAAACTTCTTTTACATTGACTGATCCCCCAGTTCTTGAAGTGTCCTCTGCTAATCCATACTGCAAACATGGGACTACAGGTTCAAGCTCTATTTCATATTCTCCAAACTAGATACTCCAAAGAAACGTGTAACTGAAAAGTTAGAATCATGCTAGTTAAAAGGCAAACCTACCAGAACAGTTCCCAGGTTGTAAATTGCCCTATGGAAATCAAATTGCAACTGTATTGCTGCACGAAACTGCAACATAATACAAGTGAAAGGTATCAAAAGCACAGATCATTCAATTTGTTTGTAGAATGGATGGGACAAAAAAAATTATAACTTATTTATGTACATCTATCGAAGCAAACCCAATGTTACTAAATAGCTATCGTACCTTATTGATTGCGGTTTTCACAATTGCTTGCTTTTCTCGTGCAGGAACAATTGCACTGAGTTCCTGAAATGCCCATTTATAACATGAAACTAAATAAAAGCTCCAGCATAACCACATAAATTGCAAAACAAAACCTTTGTGTAACTGCTCTCAAAATAGAGAATACTACTTGAATCAAAAACATAGTTGATTCCTGGCAACTTTGTTTAACTAAAAGTACCTGCAGAGCCAGTCCCCAGTTGTTGAGTGCCTGGAAAAAAATTATTTATCATGAAGTTACCAACAATATTTTAAACATAAACATATTCACAAATTCTCAAGCGAATCATCCAAGAGTTAATGACAGAAAAATGGCAGTAGAAGATAACACTGGAATAGAAGAAAAGGATGAAACTGTGATGAGTAAGATTTTAGGGTTCCGATTTTAAATGGAATAAAAATATTTAATTTCACAGTTCTAAAAATACTTGCCTGGGGACTGTTCCAATTGAGTTGGACAGCTTTTTCATAGTTTTTCGTCGCCTGCAAATTGAAAGAATAATATTACACTTTACCCACTCGTGTGCCATTCTTTTTCAATGATGAATAGCCGTTAGTTTTAATTCAAAAGAGGATTGCATTCATTGCAGACTAGAACAGAACAAGACAAAACAATTTTGCAGAAGGTGCCATTAGATCTTTTCAATGTCACAAGGACACCTAGGGAACTTTATAATGATACTTAATATTATGAAGTAATACATTGTCTCATAAACACAACATTTAGTAGTTCCAAATGCTAAATTTTATATCAAGCAGCACATAATATGTTGACACGACAAAAGCAGAGCAAAACTAGTTAAATCCGTGGAAATCAAATAAATGAATTTGATCTTTTTATGTTATCCACATATGCCATGTTTTGTATGCTACTACTTTATCATTATTATGCAGATTGCAGAAAGTAGAACTCAACCAAGATTGCAAGTAATGCGTTTGACAATTTGGTCAATCGAAGTAGTAGTATTTATTCTTGGGATTGTATAACATTTATGCTTGCAGTAAAAGTTATCCATGAAGATCTAAATTTTAAAAAAGTCTATGTCATTGTCAATGGATATATCAATCATCAATAAAAAGTATTATTATTATTATTATTATTATTATTATTATTATTATTATTATTTTGTATTTTAACTTGGGAACATTTTCAAGGAGCTCCGGGAATGTCAGAGACATGATTGAAGATTCAGAAGTTTTGTTAGCACATATCATAGATAGCATGTCATTTTTTGAAATTAATATATCGCATCGAAACTACAAAATAACTAAATCAATATTTATTCTAAAACAACTTCGTCAGTAGCTCTTAATTGGCTCTCCCCGTGCATTCCTTTTCTCTTGTCTTTTATTTTCTTTCAACTTTCCAAGTGTTTATGACCATAACCAATGTTTCCATAGAATTATCGGTTTGTTTCTTATGGGCCACCAACATTTAGCCTTCGCACATATTCAAGGCAGATAAAATCGCAGCAGACAAGCATGCAAGACAGCGCAGCCAAAAAAATGAAGATACGCCACTCAAAATTAATAAATCACGGTGATTTGTTTTATTTATTTTATTTCAGTATAATATTTCCATGTATATATAAATCAGATTTTTTGTAAGAGCTGGGCAGAGCTGAGTTGAGTAAAATAAAAAAGAGTATTTCCTTTCTTTCTTCCTAGCCTTCTATTTCTCTCTTTTCGTCCTTTCTCTGTTTCTTTCACCCCACCTTGTTCCTTCTAGTATCCAAACTGAGTAGCTCTCGAGCTAAATCCACCTCCTTCACATTACTGAGGATGAACTTCACTGCTCTATCAGGTCTATAAAAGTTCATTCACCAGAACAGGATACATTTGCTTCTGTTTTTCTCTCTTTTTTCATCAACCAAGGTTGCCTGTCCAACCAGTCTATTGTCAAACAAAAATGGGTGATTTGGTCAGGTCAATGATTCCAAGATAAACATTTAAAAATTCTCATCTTGCTACTTGAACCAATTATGTAGCTGGATGAGAGAAATAACAAGTCTATAACCTCAAATTCAGAAGCGACAATAGAACTTTTAATTGGAGGTTAATCTGTAGCAGAAACTCCTACAGTTGACAATATGGCTTTTAGTTGGTTTTTTTATGTAGAAATATGTACATGTACATGTGTGTGTATGTATGGGTTAAATTTAGCAGGCAATCTGGTCCCTCCATCACGTGTTGTTAACCTTTTGAATAGAAAAAAATCATGTGTAAAACTAGAGGGACCACAGTAAAAATCAAAACAAACTAGGGGGGAGTATTTAGGTTATTTAGTCCACAAAGCACAAACCACAGGGGATTAAGTGGTTATTTCCAAACAGAAAGCTTATGTGCACAGGAGGTAAAGTAAAATTTTCCAAAAAAAATAAAAGAGATTAAACAATCATACTGAATACAGTGAACATTTCTACATAAAAATATAAAAGCATATAGTATGAAGGAATTAAAGAATTAAATGGTGAAACCTGCTTCCATAGTTCTTCAGCCTCCTTTGTACGACCACGCATTTTTGCCCGATCAGAGATTGCTATAGCCCAATTATAATAAGCCTGCCATTTAATGACATTAAAGTACAGAAGTAAAATGAGGTAGATTCATTTTCTGAAACAATAAAAAGAAAAAACTTATTTATGGTATCCAATTCTAATGTGAAGTTAGCAAGCCACGGTGTCTCTACATTTCAAAATAACTATGCAGTGACCTTTCTCCCAAGTGGTTTCTAATCTTGCACACGCACATTTTTCTCCATCACACAACAAAATTTATGTCTACTAGTTCCTTCCCACTTTGATTGCTTCCTTTTTTTGGTCTCATAAGTCATAATAGTTCTCCACTTAGAAAAATAAAATGCAAATTGTTGGCTATCCTGAAATATCCTTTCGGAAGAGTAGTTTCCAAAACTTCCCCAACAAGCTAACAATATGATTTTTTTTTAGCATTCAACAGGTTAATGAAAATAAGATATCTGAATACATACATCATGAAGTGTAGGGCAAAGGTGAGTGGCCTCATCATACTTTTTGCATGCCTCTTCAAGCAAATCATCTTTAGAAGGTGAACTAGAATCCGGACTAACATTATCCGCACTTTCCTGCATAAAAAAGTTCAAAAATATAGACAGGGTAATTTGCACTTGATACGTTTCTAAATTAATACAATATGTGGAGTCCCTAGAATAGTGATACTAATTTTAGATCTGTGAGTTTAATTAAAAAAACGCATGGATGGGAAAACCATTGAAACCTTAAATATTTGGATGAAAGTGGTGGGACCATCTCTCTACTTTTCTGTTCATTATTACTTTTAAATAAACAGAGATCATTTACATTACATGATTGTAGTGGAGTTCTTCATAAAAATGCATAAAGTTATAACATTTCATTAAAATTAAAAATTAACAGTCCATAATTGTTATGTTATTTTAAATTTAAAATCTTCATTAACTGTTTATGATAAATGAAAGAAATAATTCATAAAGCTAATAAGAATAACAAGTTATAAAACAAATAAGTCCAAAAAGTAAGGACACAAATGTGTTTGAGTGCCATGTGAGCATATGCAAGGATGCATTATCCATGCAACGGAAGAATAAACTAAATTTCCCAAAAGCATCATTTGTTACAAGAAATATTATACATCACAGCCAATTACTCCTAAAGTACAACAAATGGTCCCAAAACTATTAAAGATCACAATGTCAGACCTGAAGCACCAGCGCCCAATTGTACAGCGCATCATAATCTTCTGGGTTTCTCTCCAATGCACTTGCATATCTGCGCAACAATATCAAGAGGTGTTCATGAAAATATGCAGCCTTGTCATCAGCATAACAGTTCCAAACATTTCATAATGAATTTCGAAAAGGTATAAAGCATTACTGAACTATTATTGAAAACAATGATAGTAAAATAGAAATTGAACAAAGCTAAGAATAAAAAATATATATATTTTAAGTTCATGAGGGAAGCAAGAGAAGGTTGTCACTTGCAAAGAAATAAAAGTCAAATGGCAGATCTGGAATCAAGAGTGAGTTATATGTTAAGCTAGATCTCATCTCTAAACGAACTACATGCAAGTGTCTAACACACACAAAGCAAGTTCAATGGTAAATGTGCCCACGAAGCCGTAAGTATAAACATAAGAACACAGAGCTTGAAATAAAAGTAATTTATTAGTCAATATTGCCATTGAAGAGATTTAACTTTTTGTCTCCGAAATGAAGAGAGTGCTGCCAGTGTACATATCAAGTCCAGTTTGAAGAATTGGTTAATGTCACACCCAAAGTAACCTACTGGCCAAACAACTTGAACAGAGTGGGTATAACAAGTTACCAACATGGCCAAAACGCTTAAGCCCAAGTAATATACCAAATTAAGGTTTCATATTATATCAAAGGGAGATGCAGGATATCACAGTTAAAAGTATGCCAGTGTTATTATCCCCCCCCCAAGGAAATCGGAAAAAAAAAAAAAAGAAAAAAGAGAAGAAGAAGAAGGGACAGAGAAAAGCCAAAAAGAAAGAAAACGGTATGCCGATGTATCTTTCCGACAAGATAGTTGGGCAACAATCCCCCACTCGTTAATCTTGAAAATGACAATGACTGAAGGCATATTAAAAAAATCAACAGAAGACGAGGCTTTGTGAAACACATCCAGTGCAACAAAAACAGTCAGGATAAGGTTTGAGATTATATTTGGAAGCAAAGATCAACACTGAACAACTACATTTTAAAAGTAAAAAGTAAAAAGCTCGCCATCCACTATTTTTGACCAGTTCAGAATTTTATGAACCTTCAACCACTTGAAAAGTAGAAAAAATATTTTATCAAGGTACAGAGAGTTCAATAGGCTTTGCTTATGAACAGGTATTTTTGTCATAATTTACTTCATTGCCATAATTTTTGTGTGATATTCTGGAAGCATACAACTCACATCTTATTATAAAATTTGAAAAGAAAAAAGGGTACAAGTAATGCCAAACAAGCTGATAATTCATAATTCAAAATCAATGACTACCTCCTGGCAGCAAATGTAAGAATCCGTTGCCGAGACCGACCCTCCTCATCAGCACCAGTCACACTATTGATCAATTCCATGGAAGCATTGTTCTGGTCTACATGTTGCTGTTGTTGTGTACTCTCTCGACTGGAACAATTCAAATGCATGAACATGAAATGATAAGCATTTGTTTATGAGATAAGCACATTGACTAAAAAGCACGGGCACAAACACAAACACTGATAACACTACTTTGACATGAAAAAAAACACCCAGATTTTATGTCCCAAGAACTAAGTATGAACAAGCATATATGAGGGGGGAAAATAAGTATGAACTAAACAGGGGTCAGATTAAAGACACAAGAAGTGAACAGGATGAAATGTCCAGCCTTATGATCATTCTCTTCTTTTCTTTTCCTTTTTTCAATTCCCACCCACTTGTTTTCAAATTAGTACAGCACCCTACCAAACCACCCTTCCAGAATTATAATAAAACCCAAAACATGTCCTGTGGTGTGTCCAGAAATAGAACATGTGTCCTCGATGCGTCCTCCAACATGTCCACCAAAAAAATTAATATAAATGCCACATGGCATGTCCGACACATATCTCAGAGGTGTCTTGTCTGGCATGTGTTGGACACTACTACGGCAACAAAAATGGAGTGTCCGGCTTCATAGTATATAGAAATGCGAGCACACTATAGTGGGTTGCTTTTAATATAAATTATAGACAACAGAAAACACCTCTTCTAAGCTATTTGTGAGTGTATATGTTTGGAGATATACATGAGTATTACCAATACATGAACGAGAGTATTACTGAACAAGGTACATAAAATATTATAACAAAAGAAAAAAAGCAACTTGACGGAATACTAATTGTTTGCAATCAATGCGACTTGATTTTTTACTTTCTTGACACCAAAATAAATTTTCAAGGAAAAATAAATCCAAGTCAGCATAAAAAACAGAATAATGCAGATGAAACAAAGGCAGAACATCTTAGTTGAAGAAAGCCATGAGAATGATCATAATGCCGGACATTTCATCATAGAAACAGTTCTCACAGACTACACAAATCCTATAATTACACAATCTGGAAAAGAATTCTGGAGTACGAGTTTGATAGGCATTTTCATTTTGTAAAACACAATGATCCAGGATTGGTAAAGAACAGAAAATGGCATCCAGAAGAATGTTATAGAATCAGCATCATAATATCACCTTGAAAGGCAGGTTTTAAAATATATTTGAGATCAACGATATTGATGTATCTGAGGATTTACAGAGTGCAATTAATTTATCTACCATCACATTTCAGACAACAGTCAGAAAGAATGGATAAAATGATAATTTTTTTATACCAATTTTCTATACAGTAGTTCTCTATTCAATTTTTTTTTTTCTTTCTTATCAAAATAAGAGTTGAGAGAATATAGGAATATAGAATATTGTATATTTAGGAAATCCCGTGATTTCTATAAATTACGGTTATTTAGGGATTTGATTTTAGGATTTGATTGTTTAATTATTTAATTCCTTTTTTCTGTGCATCTTATATTGATTATAAATAGACATAGTCTCACCCCAATTAGAGTAAACCAATATTGTATAACTTTCTTCTTGGTATCAGCGTCAAAGAAACCCTAGCTGCACCTACCCATCACCACCGCCAGCCTCTCCTCCCTTTCCTAGTAGCCGACTCACCTACCCAGCCCCCTTCAACCATCTTACACCACCCGAAACCCTTTCTCTCTCCCTCGGCAGTCCTTTCCAGTCACTGTCAAGGTTCCTACAGCAACCGACCAGGCTCTGTCCCGGTTCTATGCAGTTTGGCATCCTTCTAGGGTAGTCCAGGCTGGTTTCTAACCCTTTTAGAGTTGTGTGTTGTTGATGTGGTAAGCAACCTGTGTGTGTTTCTTATTATTTGGGCTACCGGTTTGTTCGGTAGCATCTCTTTCGTGTGACGCCACTACTTTGGCTTCGTGGTGTTTCAGAATGTCTGACTTTGTTACACAAACCCAAAGCATTAGGCCTCATTCTGATGTTTCCCTTGCCTCCCATGTTCCGGTTCATCGGATTACTAGTGTTACTTAGGCTTTGTTTGTCATAACTTAAAAAAGTCAAAAAATCACTATCTTATTTAAGTCGCATCATCTTATTTAAGTCACATCACCTCTCTACCACATCACTTCAAACCCAATCCATATCCAACTCATGTTTTATAAAAAGTCAAAAAGTGTACTTATTTAGATCATCCCAAACCATCCTTTAATGGTCGCAACTTTGCTACTTGGAGACAGTCTATACATCTCTACCTTGGGGGTAGAGGCAAATCTGGATGGCTTCTAGAAATCGAGACACAACCTCCTGCTGATGATCCTAAGCGGGTTCAATGGGATATTAACAATTGCACCTTACTTGGTTAGATGTTCAACTCTATGAAAGAATGCATCTACAAAATGTTCGTGTATTGTCATACAATTCCTCAGTTGTGGAGTGCTCTTACCCAGATGTACGCACATGCCCACAATGATCCTAGGATTTTCAAACTCTATCAGGATATTTCTCATGCCTCTCGGGAAGCTTCGGGTTTTACCGTTGCCGAATTTTTTGGATACCTTCAGCCTCGCTGGGAGGAGTTAGCATAGTATGAGCCATTGAGTGATTTTCCAGCTGTTGTCGCTTCTATTGTGTCTGCTCGTCTTGCTCGCCAACACACCTATCAATTTTTGATGGGTTTAAAACCTGAATTTGAGTCTCTTCGTATTCAAATTTTGAACACATCACCTATGCCATCCTTATATGAGGCTTTTGCTACTATTGACAGCGAGAAGCATCGTCGTCGATTGATTCAACTGGTGGCACCGCTTCTTTCCTCTGTTCCTGCCTCACCTTCAATTTCAGATTAGATGGCTCTTGCTGCCAAGTTTAGTTCTCGCGCTTCTATTAGCAAGGTTATTTGCCACCATTGTGGTGTAGCTGGTCAGGTCCAAGCGCGGTGCTTCAAGCTTCATCCTGAGTTGAAGCAACGCTTTGCAAAGACAAGTCCTTCAGGCCCTCCCCATACTACTGTTATTGCTGACACATCTAGTACTCCTCAGCCGACTCATTCTGTTGATCTTCATCAACTTCAATCTCAAATTGGTCGCCATCAAGAGCAACTTGGTTCATTCACTACCATGTCTCCAAGTGTCCCTTCCACTACCACACTCGCTACAGGTACTCCAATAGCCTTTCATGTTCGCATTGCACCTACTTGGGTATTGGATTCTGGGGCCAATGATCATATGAGCGGTGAGTTTTCTTGTTTATCCTCTCCTGTCTATACTATCGCTCAGACTGTATGTCTTGTTGATGGGTCTATTTCACATGTCCAACATAAGGGTGATGTGCCCTTATCGTCTGATATTACACTTACTTTTTTCTTATATGTGCCCTGTTTTGCTTATAATCTTTTCTCTGTTAGTCGCCTTGCTAAAAACTTTCATTGTGCTGTTATTTTCTTACCTACTCATTGCTTATTACAAGACCTAACTTCGAAGAAGATTTTTGGCAGGAGGTTTGAGCACAACGGGCTATATTACTTTGAGGACCCTACACCTTTCCATCCTATCACTTCTGGCCTGCAAACAGCTGTGTTACCTAAGTTGTCTTCCTATGTGTTTTCTTTTCAGACTTTAGCCTTGTGGCATGCTCGTTTAGGACATACAAACTTGCTGGCAAGGTTTGTCATCTGGTTAAGTCTTTCTATGGCTTGAAGCAATCTCCTCGTGCATGGTTCCACCGTTTCAGCTCTATTATCCTACCCATGGATTTTATTCAGTGTCACTCCGACCATACATGTTTCATTCGTCGTCAGCCCAATGGTCGATATATTATTTTGTTGGTCTATGTGGATGATATCATCTTTACAGGAGATAACTCTATTGGTATTGCTAAGGTAAAACAGGAGCTTAGTCGAGTATTTGACATCAAAGACTTGGCCCTCTCAAATATTTCTTGGGGATTGAAGTAGCTCGTTTTCGCAGTAGGATATCATTGTCCCAACGGAAGTATACTTTGAATTTTCTTTGGGACACCGGTATGATGGGGTGCAAGCCTGCATCTACTCCTATGGATTCAAATCTGAAACTTTCGGCTGAGTCTGGTGAGTTGCTTTCTGATCCATCTCGCTACCAAAGATTGGTAGGACATTTGATCTATTTGACTAATACACGACCAGATTTGACATTTGCTGTGAGTGTGGTTAGTCAGTTCATGCATTCACCTCGTATTGCTCACCTTGATGTTGTTCACCACATCTTGAGATATCTCAAGTCATGTCCAGGTTTAGGTTTATTCTTCAATGGTGGAATTCAGATAGGATTGTCCTGTTTTACTGATACAGACTATGCAGGTTCATTGACTAACAGGCGTTCCACTTCTGAGATATGCACTTTCCTTGGTACCCATCTTCTATCATGGAAAAGCAAAAAACAAACAGTTGTTTCTTGATCATCTGTTGAAGCTAAGTACCGAGTCATGGCTCATGGGACATGTGAGTTACTATGGCTTCAGTTCATTCTTACTGAGTTAGGCTTTGAGGAGAATAATTCCTCCAAACTATTTTGTGACAATAAGTCTGCAATCTTACTTGCCTCTGACTCTGTGCTTCATAAGCGTCTAAGCATATTGAAGTTGATATTCATTTCATCCCGAAAAAGGTTCGAACAGGCATTGTATATCCCTCGTTTGTTTCATCTTCTGATCAGACTGCCGACATCTTCACCAAATCTATCAGACCATCCCTACTTCATTCTTTCATTGACAAGCTAGGTTTGGTTGACATCTTTGATTCAGCTTGTGAGGGAGGAATACAGGATATTGTATATTTAGAAGATCCCGTGATTTCTATAAATTACGGTTATTTAGGGATTTGATTTTTAGAATTTGATTATATAATTATTTAATTCATTTTTCCTGTGTATCTTATATTTATTATAAATAGACATTATCTCATCCAAATTAGGGTAAGCCAATATTGTACAACTTTCTTCTTATATCAACCTTGCCAACTTTTTACTTGCTTTATTCTGTTTGTAAAGAGCAGTATGGCATTAACACAGACTCAATAGAACTTGAACAAATTTTTTTCCAGACATTTTATAGGGGGTAATACATGGGCTCGGAAAGCTGTACAACCCAAGAACTCAACATTGGTTTTGTAACCTCTCTTTCGACACTCAAACTTTTCACAAATATCTTGCACTAGATCAAGCCATTATCTCAGTTCTGATCTCAATTGGCATTCTTTTAGTGCTTAATTACAAACAATGAAAGAATGACCAGACCAACAAGTAGCGATTTCTTTATGGAAATTATTCTATTTGCAACGTATTTTCTATCACTTCTTAGTGAACCAAAGGTCATATGAATGAACATAGCATAAAGGTAATAAAAGGAAAAGGGAAACAGTGACATTTGTAGCTACCATAAATAGTACACTGATACAACCCGAAATAACAGAATCATACTGACGATGAATTATAACGGGAACATGCTTCTTGCATAAATTGGCTAAGAAAAATTAACGCCACCAACCCCAATCACATATAATTTTTTTTTTTTTTTTTTTGATTGTTGATATGACAATGCAATTCATAAAAAAGGGGTAAAAAAAAACAGCAGCCAAATGATTGATTTCCAGATTGCATACATGATATGATAGAGCTAATTGGATAGGAGAATAAAAAGTTGTGAACTTTGTTTATAATGAATGATAAGAGTGGGGGGATAATGCAAAATTGAGAATCCCTTATTAAGATTTGATTAATAGAAAGAAATAGAGTGACATCACAATTAGTCAGTCCGATTCCTGAGATCTACAGACTTGCAATTGCGTTCGATAATTTTCCATTTTAGAGGAGCTAAATTGGATTCTTAAAGGCACATAAATTGAGCATATATTATGAAAAATTAATAAATAGGAATGAGACAAACCTATAGGGAGAGTTGGCATCTTGTCTATCGGCGGCATCTTCGGAATCATCATTGGCTTCTTCATCACCGTTCTTCAATTCATTCAACAATTCTCTCATGGTGAAAGTGCGGCTTCCTTCATCTTCTTTTCGGAGCTCTGGTTGTTGTTGTTGTTTAGCTTCCTCAACCACCGATGAAGAAGCGTTCTCGTTCTCGGTGCCATTGGATTCGACGATGGATTGATCTTGCGATTCGTGGAGGTTGGGATCCGCATTAGTTACCGGTACATCATTTGATTGGATCGGTTTGTGACTTGGTTCGTCGAGCTTGGAATCAACATCAACATCAGTGGGTGGTGGTGGTGATGGTGCGTTGTCTTTAGAAGGAGAAGAAGAAGAAGAAGAGTCGTCTGGTCTGAGATCTGATTCTGCGTAGTCAGTTACTGGTGGATGGGGTTGAAGTTCGGTTGTTCCGTTTTGGGTTTCGGAGTCCGCAGCGTTTGCAGACATTTGAATCGAACAAGATCAGGATTAGGGCTTGCTTCGCTTCTTCTGATTGTATCTATGTATGATTGTCGAACAGTGAGTCGGAGGAGAGCTTCAATTTTGTGAAGGAAGACTGATACGTACGGGATACAAACACAGATCTCAATTGGATAAAAAAATATATATAATATGGTGTCCTGAAGCTTGCTTTACTCTCCTCATGCCATGATGGACAAGGCTTGAACCCATGACCATGAGTTTAAGTATGAAGACTCATACCACTTAAGCTAAGTACACATTATAATATTAATTTCATTATTATTTTCTTTTATTCCTCTTTATTTAATTTGCACACACATCGTGTGTACCCAACCGCTAGTGTATATATATATATATTGAAAACCTGAGAAGGCTACCCCAATTTACCCACAAGGCTCGTTTTAACTTTTTTTGGATTTTGATATACTGTCTATTTGAAATTAATTGATATTACTTATTTAAAAATTACAATAAATTGCACAAAACTCTTGCGAGAAAATACATCGATTACTACCAATTTTACATAATGTAATTATCTTTTAAATTCATAATATATCTTTTATATTAAAAGGTATATGTCTATACATTAGTATTTGTATCAATTATTAGTTTCAAACGCTCTAATTTTATTATAAAATGTCCATCTCTCCATTTTATCACCTTCAATTGCAAGTGACAAATAATATTAACTAATCTCCTATCTTTAAAGTGTTAGACCATTTCATATGGGAGTGAATCATGTGATTAGATTGGAATTTGGAGCATAAAATTAGAGAGATGTAAGATTATGGATTCAAAATTGTGATCTAGGATAATTTATCCAATGTCATTTTATTTTTGCATAGGCAGAAAAATTTTGCTCCAATTGAAATCATTACATCACAAAACACCTCTAACACATTGTTTAATATTAAAATTAAAATAATAAATAATTTGAAAATAAATAAAAATGTTAAAAGAGTTCTTTTTTTGGGTGGGTAGTTAAAACGACTTATCAATTCAATGAAAAATGTTGGGAGAATTACTTGACAATGGGGACACAGAGAAAGAAATTACAAAAACATGAAGGCTATACGTGAACTTGTAATAGAGTACATGTATAAAACTATGAAGGTACAATATTTGTGTATTTCCTCTTTCTCGATACAATATATATGTATTTTCTTTTTCTCTGGTCAATTGTCAAGTAATTCTTCCAAAAATGTTTTGAAAGAAATTGATGAAAGTTGTTTCATGTTCTTTCACACACAAGCTGTCAAAACCTGCTATCGATTGAGAGAAAACAATTTTCACAGCAATTTCACGAGAGAGAGAGAGAGAGAGAGAAGATTTGTATCATCGGCTCCACGCTGAAACTGGCATCATCCTGAACATAACAGCCTATGGTGTTACCAAATCCATTTACTAGCACAAGACAAGCTTTGGGGGTAATGGAAAGCAGTACAAAACAAACTACTACATCATATTCTAAATTTACTAATATTGCATGATAATATGCCACTTCACTCAATTGAGCCCTTGAGAGTGCGGGCAATGATACATATCATTCCCTAATTTACTCATCAATACAAGAATTGCAGCCTATCAAATTCTAGTTCCAATATTAAGTGTGAAAAGCGAATTGAAGATCATCCTCCCCCTTTGTTTCAAAAGGGGCGTCACAGAAATTGGAACAAGTAACCCACAAAAAAATAAAAAGAATGAGGAAGAGAGAAAAAGGATTGGTTAACAACAAAAAGTGAGAGTAAAAAGCATTTGCGAAGGGTTTTCCTAAATTTTGTCATGGAGCATCACCACCAAGTCGTGTGCATCATCTAAAAGTTTCCAAACATCAAGATGTCCAGCCATGCTATTGCACTCCCTAATGATTTCATCCATGCTGTTATACTTCTCTATAATCAGCTTCCTCCTCTGCAGCACACATGCCGCAATTGCATAAAGTAACAGATCATCTGAAGGAGGAGCTCTTAGCTTCATCCTCCCTGAAGCAGACTTGGCAATCCCAGCCCTAATCGCGGCCTGGTCTGCCCACATCACCTCCCAGAGGCAAAGTGTCTGCTCAAAGTTCAACTCCCTCCTGAAGAGAACCACCACCATCCTGTACACAAAAAAACAATCCTCCGCTTGTAGCTTCTCCAGGTGTTTGTATAGATGAGAATCCTTGCACTTGATCACTTTTGACACGATATTCAGCTGCCGTCGGATTCCCACCTCATCAAGGCGAAAATTATGCCGAGCTTTCCTCATAAAACCCACAAAGCACCAGAAGGCCTCGTGGTCCTCCTCCATCACAGATATGATCGGAGAGAGTAGATCACTCATCCCTTGGCAGTAGCCAATCTCAGAATCATACAATGCATAGGCTTCAAGGATGGCTACTAGGCGAGCTGCATGAAAGATCCTGCATGGCTCTAAGTGGTCAAAATCTTTCAACCCCACACTCTCAGCCAGCTCTCGTGCCTTGGTCTCCGACACGTCAGCCTGAGATGGGGAGTAAATAACCCATTCAGCATTTGCCCGCACAGCATCAAGACGGATAATCCGCCGCCATGAAGAAAAATCTTCAGCAGCGTGGGATTTGGATGCACCTTGTGATTCCGATGATGTGGATTTCTCCTCGGCGTCATCATCAAGTTTATTTTCTTCTGCCCCTTCTGAGGCAATGAAAGGTTGTATATTATCAGTTTCTTCAGAGGAGTCAGAATCAGAAGACTCACTGTCAGCTTCAGAGGCATTTTCACAAGTGATTCCACTCTCATCACCCCCTTCTTCCGACAATGTGTCAGGGCTTTTAAAGGGAACATCACTTACAGGGAGATCTGGATCCCCACCTCCCTCAGCAGAAATGGAACCTGTAGGACTACCTACCTCTTCTAAACCAGGAGAATCCAGAACTTGACCCAAATCCCCACTGTTCTCACCACACTGGTTTCCAGAAGTTTCGTTCAACTTGAAACACTTGTCACTGGGCTTTGCCATCTTTTGGCACCGTCTCCGAAGGTTGTCATATTCCTTTCTGTAAAAATTAAATGAAAGTAAAAATTTCAAGTTTCAACAAAGGGAAAAGGGGGAATTTTTTTTTTTTTTTTGTGTCTGTGTCTATGGGTGGAGGCATACACTTGTGGGTCCACGATTTTGGTCAAAAAAAAACACCAGCCCATAGTTTGGGTTTTTTTTTTTTTCTTTAGAGACCATGAACAAGGTGAAAGTACCTCTTCTGAGTTTTAATGGAATCTCTCTCTTCCTTTGAACTGCTCATGTCATAGCTATAGATACAAAACAAACACTTCGTCAAGACAAGGAAAAGTTCAAACATGTAACACCTAGGTAATGCACATCACAAGTAAAAGCTACACATAGCAAATAACATAGGAACAAAAAAAAAGGTCGAAAAAGTAAGCAATTGAGGAAAGATTAAAAGATTATACATGTATCTTCCATTAATTAGTGACCTTCGTAGTGGCCATCATATGGCAGCTATACAAATGGTTAGGGATGCAAGTGAGCCAAACTATTCATGAACAATTTGAGCTTGGCTCATTCAAGCTTGGTTCAATTAGCTAATAAACAAGCTCGAGCTACATTTCCTAGCTCGTCTAATAAATGAGCCGAGTCCAAGAAGGTTAACGCTCGGGTCAGTTAGGCTATAGAAATCTAAAATTAAGATTTCACCCGTATAATCATATATTTAGTTCTTTTATAGAGAGTGATAGCTCATGCATCTCTCTTTTTAGAAAGTGGGGCAGAAACCCAATGGTTATTGGCAACAACTAGCATAACATTTTTATAAATGGTGGAAAAAGCCTAACATATTTGCCTTTTCGATGTAGGATAGGAACCTAGTGCATGAATATGCCACATTAGCATTCAGTTTTATAATGGGTGGGAAACATCAAGGCATAATTGTTTTACCGATGTGGGACCAAGAGGCAACATATTTAAATTTTATACTTCAATTGACTCATTTTCACTTAGTGGTAAGTAATCATTTTCAAGACTTTCAATTGAACACTACCAGTTTTTGCGTTACAGCTCCAAGTTTCCAGAAATATGTTAACAATTCATTCATATTACATCGGTGAAAAAATACACTTTACGTGGCAATTTATTGAAATCAACTTGGGACATGTTTAATATTTCTCATTAACAATTCAGAATGATAAAGGTAAAAACAACATTTGGCTCAAATATAAAAAGTTATCGGGAACCAAATTTAAGAGATATCTATAACTGAAAATAAAATTTGAATGTCAGATTAGACAAGGGATTTTAAGGCTAACTTGGTCAAATATTTTCAATTAATTCAGTCGAAATGATAAGCTTGAAAACAGGATGACACAACCAAAATGGGTTTGCAAAAAACGTATATCACTAGCATAGAAAATATGACGCTATACCTTCATTCCTTTGCGCATGAAAAGTATACATTAGAAATTTCAACTGGCTGCAATTCAACAAAATCCCACCCAATGTTTCAATGTTGTGTTTATATGTTTACCTCATCTGACATTGCTCCCCAACAAATTTTATGGATACAAAGATTCTTATGTAACAGTTGGGGTCTGACAGTATTGCAACGTTGCAGCAGAATAAGCCAAAAAGGTTTAAGGTGTAAGTGCCAGAAAAGCTAAGGTGTAAACGCCAATGTTGAGAAGTATGTTGATTCGAGCCCCGCTCGTGCCGAGCTTGAGCTTGCTAAAAATTTAACAGAATCCCTTGTCCAGAATATGCAAAAAAATTTCTTTTCAAGAATGTAAACTATGCTCTGGTGAGGCTACAATGATCAAACTGAAGGGCTTGTGCAGAAAAATTGAGAAATTTGAATAATGCTACTTTGATGACGACAAACTGATTTTCTAAGCAAAATTTGGAATGGGGTATAACTTGTAGAAAGAAAATACTTTAATTACTTATCCAAGTGTTAATGCCACAGACAAAACATGAAAACTTCTATTTCCACACACCACATTATATCAGTTCACATACTTTTTTGGTTTGGATATCACGTAGTCTACCCAAATAGACTGATGACCCAACAATAAGTAAATCGAACTTTAAATTATCTTCAATTGGCATAGCTTACTTGATGACTGCCCCCACCCCATCCCTCTTTCAACCACCTTTTCAATCTAAAACAGAAGGAAAGAGTAGAAAAGAAAAAAGAAAAAAGAAAAAAAAAACCAACAACTTATCAATCATATTGGAAGTTTGAAACTTCAAAATTCGAAACTCAACTAGACAATTTTGTCTCAACAATTTGAGATCACCTCGAGTTTACACAACCCAAGGCTATAAGATATAATGAATCATATTCCAAAAACTCTACTTTCACTCCTTAACTATGTCCTTGTTGGTGTTCATTCACCACAGCACCTCCAACTCAAGTCACATTTATCCTCATATTAAAAGTGATTGCAAGAAGATGTCTGCAAAAGCTCTGAAGAGATGATTCACACAATCTCCACATAAATCTTCATGTATCAGATCATGAATATCAACCAGTTTAAGAAAAGGCCAATTGCTACATTGTCTCAACAAGCCCATCAAATACAGTTATGGCCAAGATCTTATCCAAAAACTACTGTGTCACCCCCACCCTTCCGTCCAAGAAATAATACTTTGGATTGGAACAAAATACTACTCCCACGACAATCAATTTTGACAAAAAAGTAAAGTATCATATGTCCAAAAAACAAAAAAAAAAAAGAGCAAAGAAAAAGCCAAAAAAAGCATAACATCATTTTCACCTTTTATGGGCTATTTGTGTAAAAGGTAACCTCAAAGTTTACCTAAAAGCTCTAAACATCAGACATGGATCAGGGCTTAATTAAACAAGGAAGAGTTGAGATTTGGGGGCAGTTTGGCAGATTATGAACAGTACCTGTGAACGATTTTTGTAGTTTAGGATGCTATTATATAAATGTTGTAAGAATGATAGAGGTTGGCCTTTATCTCTAAGCACAAAAGTTTGGTTTTGCATCTAACAGGATAAAGAAGTGCATAAAATTAAAGAACAAAGAAGGGAAGTAGATGGAAAACTAGGTATCACACCCAAGGATTAAAATTCCATCACACGATCCCATGAGCCATGAACACAAACACATGCCACCATGGACACCGACACAACACTGGGGCATACGAAAAATATATAGTTTTATACACTCATTATACGGCTTATATAAGAATATGCAGTTTTAGATGTTACATATATGAATATTTAATTCAAACATAATATAAAAACTTTTAAAGTCTTTTGAGGGGAATATGTATATATTTATATTTTTTTCTTTTATCAATTTCAAGTTATTTAATTCAAAGTTGTAATATATTTCATGTTTATCTAAGCAATAGACACGTGTTCCCAAGCATCAAAGTGTATCCGAGTCGATTGTTTTATTTTTTTAAATAGTTGGACATGCTCGAATGTGAATCAGATAGCTGTTACGAAGTGTCCAGCGAGTGTCCTGTCGTGTCGGTGTCCAACACGACAACATACCTTCTAAGAGGTGTCCGTCCTCTAAAGAGTTCAAAGCTGTGAAAGGAATTATCAAATCTATTCTCTCCATTAATTCAACAGAATTACATAATTACAAGTAAACTTTTAAGAAATCCTATCTACAATAGTAGAATGACTCCAAAATTAGAACCTAAAGTCTTTTGAAGTTTTAACTTCTAAAACTCATTTAGACCAACTAAAAAATACATTTAAACAAACCTCATAACCTGACCCAAAATTTAACCTGTGTTCGAACTCTACAGCCCATATCTTCTTATTACAGCAAAGCCTGTTGACTCCTAAACTTTAGAAAGGCTAGAATAAAACACACCAAATGTACTTTCTATTGATACCAATGATGCGTCCCAAGCGAACCCTGCCTTGAAATTACCCAATATCTAATTTCCATTACTCCTTTAAATTTACTTTCTCTTGATCTTCTAATAGATTGCATTAAATGCATTTCGTAGAGTACAAATGCCTAAAGCATGTCAACAAATAATGATCTTAAATAAATACTTCAATGCATAGTACTAAACATTCCATAATCAGTAACATATGAATGGTGTGTATCTAATATGGAAACATACTGAACACGAGGCATGCTTCCCTGAAAATCCTCTTCAATAAAGAAATAAATGTACACTAACAACACATTTATTCATAAACTGATTCTTCACCCTTTCCAACTTTTTCATATCAAATAATTTTCAATATTTAAAAAGCATAATATATCCCATTCCGAATGGAGTTTAAGAATGACCAACGAGAGATAATAGTTAAAAAGGAAAGAAGGGAAATTTTGAAGATTGAGAAAGAAAAAGTAGCAATAAAAATCATAAAACCATTAACATGGTTGAGGCAATGCATCACAAACCTGCTACCAACTGCGCAATCTAAGGGACCAGGTACACTGCCACTTATGACTAAAGAATTATACAGCAAGTTGTCAAGTGATCGCAAGCTTTATGTCATATAAGCATCATACTATGCAAACGTAAATGAGATGCAAGCACTTACACTCCAAGAAGAAATGGCCAGACTTCTGCCCTTATACTGGGATCAACACCCTGCATCAAAGGTTGAAGGGTGATTCCTACACTAACAATAGACACAACTGGAGATAACTTATGCTAAATTTAATGGGAAAGCATGTATGTATATATAAGATGATTGAAATTGATAACATACTCCACTCCTAACTTTCTTCAAAAACTTGACTCCACCATCGCAGAGTCTTCCATCTGAATTAAATAAACTTTTCCATTGTTTGGGCAGAAGGGCGTGTTTCCTTCTCCTGTGGGACCAAGGTGATTTAAGGCTACCCCTGCAAATGATGACACAAAATATATAATATTCGACAATGATACCAGATGAATAACAGAAGCACAAGCAAAATAAAGTAACTCATTATGCACCGCATAAATAAATAAAAAAATGTCATATGCTCCCCATTTTTGTTTAACAAACATAATATATATAACATTCTGTGCATGCATCACAAACTTGATGTGGTTGCCATGATAAATTAACTGAGTTCTGAACAAGTCAATGGGGAAAGTTGCAAAAGAAGAAGTGAAGACTCCCCTAATACTATAGTCCAGAATGAATATAATGACGCCCCATGCCCAAAATGAAGGAGGGATAACAGAAACAGGAATGGTTTTGAGGCCAGGATGGTATGTGATTAAGAATGGAGGGGGGAAAAAAAATCACAACTTTGCAGCAGAACTAAATCGTTTGAATCATCCGTCACCAACAAATTGAAACGACTTATCAAGAAACCCACATCGAGTTGCTAATTCTATCCATGGGTGTCATTCTTCTGACAATGCTGATATCAAGAAGCCCGAAAAAAATAACAGGAACAGACTCAAACAAAATGGAATTTTAACTAAAGCCATCTTTCCCGATCACCCTAAGCTCTAGCTACAGAGTAACTTCCTGGACCACCCTATCATCTCTTTTCCCCTATTCCAGGAAGAAAAAGGAAAATATTAATTGCATTCCATTTCCAAGACTATCCCTTCCACCTCAATTTATAGATAAAGAAGGAAAGTAGTGTATCTAACTACCTATCATCTACCTATTCTGTAGAAGTAAAACCAGACACTCCAATCCAAACCCACCAAACCAATTGAAGTCACCCAACAAGCAGAACCTAAACAAAGGAAGAGCGAGGAAACCTGTGTGTGGGGTGAAGGGGGGGGGGGGAAGGGGGGGGGGGGGAGGAATTAAAAATAAATAAAATTTAAAAAATGAAAGAGAAAGCAAGCAGTGAACACTTTTTGAGATGGAGATCTGAAGAGCAAAGAGAAATGAAAGCGAAAGAAGAAAGAAGACAAAACAGAAAGAAACTCACCGATCAGTGGAGACTGGTGAGGACGAGGGAGCAACGACTAAGAGAACCGATCGCAAATAAATCCACGAAGACGATGACGATGACGATGACGACGGTGAAGAGGAATTTGATGCGGACGACAACGGTAAGGAAGTGTGACTCCGCCGAAGGGCTCTCATCAAGGGTTTCTGTTGTGTCAGCATATATATACGATTGATTGATTGATCTAATTCTAGGGTTTCAAGGTGGCGTCGGTGATGGTGATGATGATGATGGAATTTGTGTCTGTGTGTTTTTTTTTTTTTTTTTTTTTTTTTGTGTGTGTTTTTGTTTTGGGGGGATGGGATGGGGGAGATATAAGAAATTATTGATTGATTGATCGATCGATTTGATTTGAGTTTTTACCTACGAGAGTAGACAAGAGTGGCGGCCAAGGCGAGGCCAGCCATGGCCGTCACGGCGAGAGCTATTCCGACATTGGAAGGCCAAAAGCCTCCAGCGCCGGTAGAGAGAAAGCCGGTCCTGCCGCTGCTGGCCTCCACAAAGATGATCCCTTCTCTCCGACCATCACCACGGGACAAAATGACCATCAATGAGAGACACGCCGCCCCCACTCCCGCCGGAATTAATTTTACGCCCTTCCTCCTCGTCACTCGCAATCTCCTCAACACCATCACCGACTCAGACCCCCCCTCCCCAACTGCTTTACTCTCTCTCCCCTAAAAGCCTACTGTGTGGGTGTGTTGTGTGTGTGTGTCTCTCTCTCTCTCTCTCTACTCTCCTAACAAAATAAAAATAATAGCCAACAACCGAAATTTTTATTATTTTATGATTCCCATCTCTTCTTCTTTCGTGTGGATTGTATATATGTATGTATCTTTCATTTGATGTATGTTTTTTTTTTTTTTTTTGGGAACAATATTTTTGATGTATGGGTGGGTATGGATCCAAAATCATGGAGTCGGGGTAAGAAATGTGGATGGATGGTTCCATTCTAAGGCGGAAAGCGTGCGGGACCCGGTGTTGTGGCCTGGTCCAATTTGACGCATCTCTCTAACTTGCCGGATCAAGTTTTATTGGGCCTATTATTCACGCTTGCCGTTTCAAAAATTAATTAAATTTTTTATTTTTTATTTTTTATTTAAAAACAAAATTGCAAAAAGCAAACAGAATGGTGTGACTTTTAATGATTTTTCATTTTTTAGCTAAAAATTAAAATTCCAAAAATGAAAACGAGAATGTGAGGGCAGGATTTGCCTAGGCTAGATTGAGTTGATTTTTACCCACAATAAAATTGTATAATTTTATATTTGAAATGGTTTGAATGAGATGGACAGTACCAAACTATTTAGGAGTAACTAGATGCAGTGGGAAAAAAGAAAAAAAATTTACAGAGGGTGCAAGTGTCATTTGCATGGCACAGCCTCTCATTTGCATCTTATTATAGACACACTCCGTTTGGTGTCATTTCTCTTTCTCTCTCCTGCATGTAGTTCTCCAAACTATTTATTTATTGGTACATGTAGTACAAAACTTAATGCTCCGTTTGGTTTACTTTTGGAATCATGATTCTAAAGGCAAGCTTTTCAAATCATTGTTCAAATTCATAACTAAATATACAATTCAAAAATTAATTTTAAGACTCATAACCAAACTCAAAACTCTTTTGATGATATAGTGTTGAAGATAGTTAGTGATGAGATTGTTAAATTCTTGTTATAAAAAATCTAAAAAAAAATAATTTCTATATTTAAAACAAATATAAATTTATTTATTTTTCAAATAACAAAAAAAATCATAATTGCACTATTCCAGTCAATCGGCTAGATGTTCAGGAGGATGTCTAGATTTCAAATCATTGTTCAAATTCATAACTAAATACACAATTCAAAATTCAATTCAAAAATTAATTTTAAGACTCATAACCAAACTCAAAACTCTTTTGATGATATAGTGTTGAAGATAGTTAGTGATGAGATTGTTAAATTCTTGTTATAAAAAATCTAAAAAAAATTAATTTCTATATTTAAAACAAATATAAATTTATTTATTTTTCAAATAACAAAGAAAAAAATCATAATTGCACTATTCCAGTCAATCGGCTGGATGTTCAGGAAGATGTCCAGACAAACAACCGGTAAACCCAATCGACTCTTTTTAAAATTCAAAAATTCTTTTCAAAATATTTTTCAAAACACTTCTTAAAACTCATAATCAAATAAATTTTTAATTACTCAAAACTCAACTCACAATTTCACATTCAAATCACAATTCTAAAAAGAGAATTACAATTTCAAAACTAAACCAAACATAACCTAAGTCTATCTTTATCATTCTTTTGTGCTAATACAATAGAAATGAGTCGACTTAATTTGGAATGTTGTTCAAAACATAAGTAAGAGAGTATATAGCTGTATTTCGGATCCTCAAAAAGAATAGTAGGCAGCATTATAGCGGGGGCATGTGCCTAATATATACTACAATCAGTCGTGTTGTGTCTTAAATGACAAAGTTTTAGGCAGAATTTTTTACTGTTCCAAAGAAATGTGAGGGCTGAATCAAAATTTTAAAATAAATTTTACGTGGGAAGACCATAATTTAGGGAGAGAATCTTGCCCTGTGGGCAGACTAGAACACTTTTTTTTTCCTTTATGCAGGGGAAGGACCGTGCAGGAGACAAAACATCCACTGGTTCACATGCTTTTGCTTTTACTTTTGCTTTTGCTTCTGCTTCTCTCTCTGCACACCAATCTAAAGCAAAGTGAGTCACATTAGCAGAATATGAGGTTGTTATACCCCTTCATTTTTCTATGAATATATATGTAGGCTTCATTCAATTTGAATTCTCCCCTTTATAATTTCAATCATACTAGAATTACTTAATTTTCCATGCGTATCTTTGCTGTATGTTGGTGGTTCATAGCAACTTATATCTATCTAACAAGGCAACCTGTCTTATAAAATCATAGATAATGAGATAATTTTATTATAATGATGTTAAATACTTATAAAATATTACTCATAAATTTATTTACACTAATATGATAGGGAATTAGATTTTAATTAGTTGATTCCTAAACAAACTAACAATTAACATGTAACCGCTCACGTTATCTGTCTATATATTATATAAGAAAAAATAGATTTCTAACCCACAAGTTTTGTGAAAATTCCAATATCCTAATCCTAATTTTCTAATTTTTTGATTTAAAAAAAAAACCTTAACATTTATTGACTTTTTCAAACTCACAAGTCTTTTTAACTTCTCTCATACTTATTATCACACCATTTTTAACTTCTCCCATACACTATGGTTAATAATGTGATTGTTAAATTATTTTTTATAAAAAATCTAAAAAAAATAATTTGTATATTAAAAAAATATCTAAAACAAATATAAATTCTTATTAAAAAATAACAGATTGCAGTTGCGAAAAAAAGAGAAAAAAATTATACTGTAAAAAATAATTTATATATTAAAAAAATATCTAAAACAAATATGAATTTTTATTAAAAAATAATAAGTTACAATTGCGAAAAAAAAAAGAAAAAAAATACACTGTAATTAGGAAATTACACACCCTTTTCAAGCCTTCCTCTGTAATTTTATTAAAAAAATTACACTGCTATCCAAAAGTTAAATATCATTGTGGTCACATTGTTTGTCGTCACTACATGCATGATGATATTGATATTATAACGAGGTAATTTTCTTTAGGTAAATAATTGCTATGTAAAATAATAATTCAAACGTAACAAGTGTTTTAATTCTTTATTCGGTACAATATTTCCTTTTAACAAGTTTTTTTTTTTTTTATTAGATATAATGTTAACATTATGGTCAAAGACAGTATTGGTTCAATAAATCTTGTTGTTCAAGATAAACGGATAGAGTTTATCTTGCGATACCAACCATCATATTTGAAGAATATGATATCAAAGGTAGGAAATTATAAAATTTATTGTAAATAACTTATTCTTACATTTTCAAATACAATGTTATAATTCCAAAATTTTATGGGATAATGGAATTAGAATGATTAAAGATTATATTGCGTCATGTCAAGATTGTGCATATACATTTATCATACTTGTATCAACAATGCTACGTCAACTAGATTGTGCACTATGTGTGAACTTTGTTTTCAATATAGAATGGTTTGAAAAATACCTATACCTTTTACAAAGTAAAAAATATATACAATATTTTATAAATACATAATATATGTGTTGTTTATCAATTATAATACTAACTATCATGTTGATAATGCAAGAATGTTGATAGAAGACTTACAACAATTTATATTTTAGTTATAATATATCTTATTTATTCAGTGGATTTTGAACAAACGTATTAAATTTTCATTTTTATTACTTCAATTATAAAACATCAATATTTTTATTTTCAAAATTATGTATATTTTATGTTACAAACTCTAAAAATATATTTGACATAATTATAAATAATTTTTTAAAATCCAATTTCGTGCCTAGCACGAATGACATGCTTGTTAAAAATAAATTAGAAATGATATTGTAATAGCATTGAGCCTTATTTTTATTTTTATTTATGAGTATTTTATTACTAAAAAATATATATACAAAAAGGTTTGGACACGTACCAAACAAAACACAAGATATGACAAAAGGCTCAACTATTTGCAAAATTTCAAATGTATCTCTATCTATTATATAAGGACGGTAGTCTTTTTAACCCACAAGTCTTGTGGTATTTTAATATTTCAATCTAAATTTTTTAATTTTATAATTTAAAAAAAAAAAAAACACCCAGCCACCCTTTTTAAATAACCCTAAACCCTATTTTTTCCTTTACGCCTCCACAGCCGCATCTTATTTCTCACCTCCACTTTTTCTGTGAATAATCCTTTATTGACTTTATTACTTTTCCTTTTGGCTTATTTTTTTAATGCTTGCTTTCATTGCTTTTCTTTTCATTTAATTTTTCAATGCTTGTTTTTCTTCTCATCTATTTCTTTATCCCTTTAACTTTCTTGCTTCAACAACTGTCTGACTTCATTACTTCAACAATTAGCTATTATTTTCCTATAAGTAATCTTCAATTGATTTCATTGCTTTTCTTTTCATTTATTTCTTTATTCAATTAACACCATTGCTTTTGTTTTCATTTATATTTTTATTATTAGAATGAATGAAAATATGATTATGTTTTTTACATACATTCCATTTTGATCAAACAGTATGAAAAACAATGTAATTGTATTTTTTAACTGAATGTATTTCTTAATTTTCTAATTTTAAAAAAAAAAAAACAAAGCAAAACAAAAACAACTTTTCCGACCTTGCATAAAGAAACCCACTCCTACCTATTACTATTAACCTAAACCCTATATCACATCAGCTTAAAGAAACCCTATCATAGCAGCCTAAACAAAAAAGTTTGGGAGAGAGCAGCAACCTTACACAGTAGTTTGGAAGAGAGAGTAAGACAAAATCTCAGAAGAAAAACACTTCAAAGTCAGTAAGTAAATCATTTGTTTTTTAATATGATTGGATTGTATTTTGTGAT